ACCACGTGTGTCTCGGGGATACTCCGAAGTCGACAGGTGGGGTCAAAAGCAGTTTCTCACGAAAGGTGGTGTGTCGACAAATGGCCTTCGCTGCCACGAACCTATGGGGATAACACACGTGCACGCTAGTAAGTCGACCTATTTTGTAGTCTAGGAATTACTACCTTTACCTCATGAGCTTCTGGATTCACACACTTTGCCGCCCACTTTACTGCACTAGCTAGAGTTTGCCTAACTTGTCTCTAAAGGAAAGGGAAATGTTTTAACAATCCTACTAAGGATTCTCATGTCGTTAACTACCTGTTTAAACACACCACGACACGATAAGAAAACTGACCACTCTTGCGTCTTCCACAAGTCGATTCGAATTGAACGATTCAAGCTAGGACATTCCTCAGTTAGCCGCTAGTACAGAACTTTGCCCCGGAATCGTGGAATTGAACGAAGTCCAATTTCACGAACGCCAAAATTCTCGTAATTGTGCACCTGATTGTTAGGGCTTCGCAGCGTCTCTTTCAAACGAGCTGTTCAAGCATCCAGACAATTTCTCGCCGAGGGGGAGGGGGAGGTCGCAAAGCCGAACGGAAAAAAGGTCAACGCTCAACAGGCAGTTACATTTTATTTTGCGCTTGCAGCTGAACGCAGGGAACTCACAAAAACGAAACTTCATGCAATTTGATTAAATGAGTATATTGTATAAATATGAATTCTGAACTAATTAAATAAATAACTATCTATATGGAAAGCGTACTTGTTACAAGCTTTTGAAGTCTCTCTCAAGAGATCCGAAAGAGGAAAATCCAACAAGCTTAAAGAATTTTCATTGCAATTTGCCGTTGGAACAGCAAACCAATGCCAGAGACGGAGAGAACTGACTGCAAGGTCGACCACTGTCGAGACTGGTACCACTTTGGATGCGTCAACGTGGACGTCAGCGTCATCACACAGGAATGGATTTGTGCTGAGTGTGAGAAAATCGTTGGAGCAACGGCTACGACCGTCAATTCTACGGTTTTGCCAATTCCAGTCATACCTACGATCATTACGTCGTCGAATGGAAATGCAGTCGATACGCGGGAAGCGCAGATAAAGATTCTCTACTAGCAGCAGGATCTTTTTGAAGGATAACTGATGATGCAACACGATCAAGAGTTGACGAGGAAGAAGATGCAGCTTGAAAAACTGATGCTGAAAGCGAAGTAGGAGATTCTGGGAGGTGCGGAAAATCGAACGATTCTACCGGACTCGTTGCAATCAACTGGTGACGGAGTCGCGAAGGTGGAAAGCTGGATGAGGAGGATGGAAATCGAGGCGAAAAACTTGTCGATTACTCCCCCGAGTGAGAAAGCGAAGGTGACGTCGTCGATCATACCCTCGTTCGGTCGTAGCTCCACTCCGACAGCTGTAGCAGTTTCGAATGTACCACAGTTTGATGAATAACTATCTCCAGCTATTCAAGTCACCAAGGCCGCTCTACATGAGCAATTCCGAAGCAAGTGAAGTACCCTTATGCGTCAACGGGATGGGATGAACTGACATTCTCCCAAATGGGTTCGATTCCTACAGTATCGGCCTACAACGAGGTGAGATAAGCGACTGCCGAATCTGTTCGCTGCCGGACAATCAACGGTCACCACCAATGCAATGTCAACGAGTATGCCACCAATTCCAGCTCCCTTTTCTTCACCGATTCCTGTACCGGGTATGCCGCCCCAACCAGTACCACTGCATTAGCAATCGAATCCAAGCTTTGCAACACACCGGTTGGACCATCATCGCAGCAGTTACTTGCCAGGCAGGGGATTCCACGAGAGCAGCCTGTCTTCGACGGGAATCCGGATGATTGGCCAATATTTTACAGCTCCTGTGTCAACTCATCAACAGCGTGCGGTATTTCGGATGTGGAGAACTTGACCAGGCTACAGAAATCTCTGAAAGGTAGAGCGTTTGAAGCACTGAAAAGTCGGTTGCTTCTCCCAGCGTGTGTACCACAGGTAATTGCAACACTATTCACGCTTTTCGGTCGTCCGGAGCTTATCATACACACGGGCGGATAGGCTCGATACATTAATTTTCTTTGGAACTGCGGTCCAAAACCTGTGCGATCATCTGGAAGCCGCTGAACAGGTAGTAAGACGATTTTACAACGAAGTCCACACCTTTGCCGGAGTACTTCCCAATCAGTGATGACATTCCGAACCGTCTCCGGAAACGGTCAAGTGTGTTGCTTCAGTACCGTTTTCAGCATTCAGCCTCACTTCCTCGGCGACAGCCTTCTACAGTGGCGCCCTCTACAGACCAATCCGTGAAATACTTTCTTAAGCCTTGTAAACAAGTGCAGTGCTACGCGAGGCGTTCTGGAAACGTGCATAATGCCGTGAAAAGGTTTCTACCTGAGGCGCGCGTCTCGAACCGAGGGCGTCCCATGGCGGCCGGGACGCCGCTTCGAGCAATGGCCTGTTGGAAAGTTTTCTTGTGAGCGGATCGAAAAACCCTTTCAACACAATATAGTAGACACCTATACAGCCATTCCATAGCAAAACGATATAGTGGTTCTCAGAATTTCGTAACGATTGGTACAGCCAGGAATCCTTATTGCCGGTATCCCTTATTGCCGGATCCTTATTGCCAAGCTATCCGCGAATAAGGATACCCACAGCTTATGCGATTTTCACTAATGGGAGCTGTGGTGGATTATCTCATTTATTTCAATCCATAAAGCTATACTGTCTTGGACAAAGTTGTTGTACTGGGATAGACCAACAAGCCTGTGTTATTGGATTCAGGTTTAATTCAGAACTACGCCGCTAGAGGCGCTTCACTTTTATAACATTTATGACGGGTGTTATAATATATGGACCGTTGGACCCAAGTTATAATATTTCTTAATCCTGACCATACAGAAATCTGCTGTCAATAGCAAAGTTGTTCAGGTGACCAAGTCCTTTCGAATGATGGCCATATTAGTTTATGAATTCTCCCACTACACAGCGCTAGTGTGCACATGAGCTTCCTGTATAAGCTGCATCTCAACATCCTGGCCATATAGAAGGTTACTGTCTTCAGCAAAGTTGTTCAGGTTACTAAGTCCTTTCGGATGATTGTCATATTATTTCAAAACTCTCTCTCTACACGGCACTAGTGTGCACATGAACTTCCTTTATATGTGATGTCTCGAAAGCTTGTCCATGTAAGATGTTGCTGTGCAATGTGATAACAGGAATCGGAAAAGGGATGCATCAATTATTGCGAATGAAAAACGTCACGCGCGAGCTTGATCCTGCTGACGGGGCTGATGGTTTTTCTTGCTAATTCATTCATGGATCGCCCCGTCGTGTGGCTTTTTTTTCGCTTCTCTGTTTTGTGCGAGGGTTCCAAATCACATTGTTCTTCAACCTGGAGCATGTTCGGTAGTAGCATCCCACACCCAGCGCTACAACCCGGTTCGGGGAAGTATTGCATTTGCTTTCATCAGCCGTCTCAGGTAATATATCCAATCACTGATACTAATATTCAACACACTGTCAAATATAACGGGAGATTGTAGATCGCCGGTTGCAGGTTTATCTCCCGCTTTCAATTTAGGTCCGTAGAATCTGATATTAGGGACTCTCGATAGGTTTGATAAACAACCAATTTAGGTTGCAGAAGGTTCTCTGGAAAATCCAGTATTCAACTCCGTAGCGTTGTGGTTGGTGATTTAGGTGACACACTGGATACAAAGAAATACTTTAGTATCTAATGGGGATTCCAGCTTTGGCAGGACATATAGCAGAAAGTTCTAATAACCTGCGTAACTAGTTCTGTTGACCGATGTCCAGGAGAAATCCTCCATAAATCCTGCAGTTGGTCCCGTAAGCTGTGCCCATGGTAAATCAAGCCTCGAGGAGAGGTTAATTGAATAATTGTTCGTCAGCAGTGTTTCCACGATGGCGCTAACCCAAACGATCCTTATTGTGCGTTTTTCCCAATCCTGATTATGGGTGATGCTAATCTGATCCTAATGGTTTCTGATGTTGAACGAAACCGTTGAACCGATCGTACCTTGGCATGGTCGACCTTCGTGAATCGTTTCCTAGTGTGTTTTACAAACCTTCAATTACAGTGTGTAGAAATCGCCATTGATTCAACCGAATCGAATAATATCCTTATACAATTTTCATTGGAATCGTTGTGAAATGGCGCCACCTGAACCAGTTACTTGCGCCTTTGTAATGTTTGAACAGTGGGGGCGACCCCGGCGTAGTGGTTAACATCCATACCTCTCATGCCAAAGTCACGAGTTCAAATCTCACCCCCGGACAAGTCACGAATGACCCAAGAGTGTTAAAGTGACTATAATAAAAAAAAAAAAAAAAAAAAAAAAAAAAAAAAAAAAAAAAAAAAAAAAAAAAAAATGTTTGAACAGTCGAACCAGCCGCCTTTGCCATTAGATTGGTGATCCTAGATGTTCCCATCGCGCCAAGTTGATTGAGTTCACAATTGGGTTGAATTCCAAGGGATCTGAGGGTCGATCCACTGCTTATGAGTCTATCCCAGTATGATTCCTCATTCCTTAGAAATCCAGTTCCACCGAATCAATTTTCCATCAACGTTGGTTTGGATTATCGAAATACAAAGGGCGATTGTTGGAATCCATTATGGATCCCAGTATAGGAGATTACGAACTCGACCATACTGATAGTAGTATCAGTGATTGGATATATTTCCTGAAACGGCTGATGAAAGCAAATGAAATACTTCCCCGATCAGGATTGTAGCTCTGGGTGTGGGATGCCACTACCGAACATCCTCACCTACCCAGAAATTGCTGAAATTTGATTATGATCATAGTGAAAAAAATACCAAATTCCTGATTTTGGCAACATCCTTATTTTAGTAACATGTGGGAAGACACTGAAGGGCCATCAAGACTCTCCTAAAACTGGCACCGTTGGAAAAGTATCCACCGCTTCCTTCAAAGTCACCATTATTTCAACCTTACCAAGTCTTTAACTCACCTGAACACATCAGCAGCAGTAATCCCAGCAGCACCCAGTGGCATCCGCCAGCACAACCGATGGTGGAACTTTTTCGCAGCACCATTGTTGACTTTTGGATCTAGTTGAGGTAACAAAAACGACAAGCTCTTCTCTTCTCTTCACAAACACATCTACCGTACGATGGCGACGCACCCACACATCCTACGCTCTTGCACTCCCCGATGAGTAATGATAACTTTTTTTTCCCAGCTCTCAACTCGCAACGCGCGTCGTCGTGTAGCTAGGCAATTGATATTTATCTTCACTTTTCCAACAAGAACAGAAAACCCCGTTCCCAGAACACACTCCCACTCGCGGCTGCGCTAGTGGCCCACTGCAGCCGTCACTTCGTTGACAACGGGTTGTTAACAACTTCACTTTTTGTCACTTTTCCATTTCGCTGTATTTAATCTTCAAACATTCGCTTCTCACCCTGGTGCCTCCCATCGTCATCATCAACATTGTCACCATCGCTGCCGAGAAGGTGAGGGAGGGATGGTAGGGTTTGACGAAATGACAGAAAAAAAGGAAGCTTGAGCTAGGAAAACGTGGAGTGATTTTCCGGTTTTTTTCCTCTCTGCTGTCCTAGTCCAGATCGGGGAATAGGAAGCTAAACTCTGATGGGAAATTGGTGCAAACAAGCAAAGTCCAACTGAGGAAAACTTTGTTTTCCCCACTTTATTATGTTTCCTCGTAGTTCAGGTCGAAAGAGCTTTCCTTTAGCTGCAAGGATAGCGACGAGGACGACGCGCGAGCAGGCGGCAGCGGTCGTGGTGAGTATGGTAACTTTTCCGAAAATTGTCTCCAGAGGGGGCGTTTTTCCGATTGGAGTAACCTGTAGAGGAATGATAAAAAAAATGTTTTTTTCAGAAATGGGAATGGTGTTTGCAAACATGAAATGAGAATTTACTCATCACATTGTTTTTTTTTTCTTGAAGGATTTCATCCACAAAACTATAATGCATAGAACGTTGTTATTTGTGATGTGTAAACCGATCAACAAAGCGAATATAATATATAGAAATTATCTTATAAGGACTAAACTGCCTAATCTCATATCAGTCCCATATGGAATTACTAGACAAATGGTAGTAGAAGCTACGAAGTGCGATTCCCATGTTATTATTTGAAAAGCCATACTAAATTTATTATAACTTTTCGTAAGTTAAAATCAGTTTTATTAACGCTTAAATGTTTTATATAGGGGAAATATATGTAATGTCGGCCTAAGTGTCACTAATATGGGCCCATACATAAATTCAGCAATCGACTAAATTTTCAATAGCAACTAAAAATATACATTAGTACTGTCCCAATGATGCGTTCATCTAGATAAAATTGATCAATACCAGATTTTTACCGATGGGCCCAATGTTAGATCCATAGGCCAACATTAGAGCCATTTCCCTATCAGCAAAAAATATGGGAATTCAAAGAGCAGATCTGTAACTTGACCACTGAACGATTGTATTTCAGGATGGGACTTACAGTGTATCTCAAAATTGAGCGTACAGATGTCCTTAAATTTTAGAAAAACAGTTGTAAAAGCCCAATTTAAAAAGATACTATTCTGAATTTTTGGTTGCTGAATCATCATACATTCATAAATCATTGGTACAGCATTGGGATTGTTTGATTGTGTTTATTAAAAGTAAGAGCTATTTGAGACAAAAACATTGAAATTCCTTAATATATTAAAAAAAAATGAACTAAACCTCTTGAAGTTTTTGCTCATTGTTAGTCGTAATAAAGTTCATTAATAATTTACTATTTTTTTTTTTTGAAATTCGTCCAAAGGTAAAACGATGAGAATCGAGCGTTTTACTAAAATATAGCTAACTTCATAACTAGAAACCGATAGCTTATAGATAACAATTGCATATCTTATTGTGTTATGATACCAGATTTTGGTATGCTTGTGGCATAAAACCTTGTTTTGATATTATTCAGTTATCGAAATATTTTGTAAAATATCAAATAAAACCAAAATAACAAAGTTTGATCTTTAAGCTTTTAGACAAAAACACCTAAAAGAGTTATTGAATTGGTATTAGAAGACCTTCAAAATAACAGGCTATGGTATTCTGGCATCTAAAAAAGCGTCTGTTATCCGTTTGTTATTGTAATTACTAAATTATTTATTAGTTCGTTATTCGTAGAATGTTTTTAAGGTATTATTTTTGGTATTTTATCTCTTATGTCAGCCTCACTAATACCATATTTGGGTTGCCAGTTATGCTATTTTCATACCTGAATTCGGCATTAATATGATATTTTTTCCTGCTCGGGTTTGCATGATGGGACAAACTGACTTGATGTTGATGATGATGATGATGATAATGATGATGATGGTCCCACCTCTTACCCCTACAATGGTTTGAGCTGGACGAATTATCTTTAAGATAATTAAATATGACATTTTAACCAAGTTTGCTAACAGAATCAAACTGGTTACAGTTACAGATATAAATTCCCTCTAGAGTTTACAGAGTTTTATATTATTCAGCAAGAGTGGTTGGTTCTATAGAAGTCATAAAATGAGTAATACATTCACATTATTAGGTTTGCTTTGCAGCTACAAATTGAAAGTTGATTAATATCTGCATAGAAATGGTATTAGCGATTATTGGCTGCTGTTTCTCAGTGCGACTGGCAAATTGATTAATGGTTGTGAAAAAGTTGACTAAGCAATCTGTATTGTATTGGGCCGTGAGCACAACGATGTTATTGACGGAACGGTGGACTGGAAGATACGGACAGAGATAATCCAAACAATTCACATATTTAGTTCTTTGTTTTTGAAGAGTTGGATCGAAGGAGCAGTTGATTTCTATAGTTAAGAATTTGTTTATCCGTTATCAACAACTGAAAACTTTAATGTAGTATTAAACCAGACTTCCAACTGAACACACGTCTTTCTCTAGAGGTTATGGGCCCAGTTAAGTCCGGCCTCAGAAGTTGAATCTAATTGATTTTAAGAATCCAGAAGTTCGTTACGGAATTACGGAGAAGATGGGAGTGAAGATGTCAAGCGCGGCGAAAGTAGGAATAGTCCAGTTTGCTGGTGAAGGATACGACGTGTGGAGGTTCTGGGTCGAAACGCAGTTGTCGGCTCACGGCGTGAAGGAAATGATCACGAAGGATGTACCAGGTGACGAAGCGCAGAGGAAAGCTTTGGAAGAAAAGGACGAAAAGGCGAAGGCTCTTCTAGTTGCGTACATCGCGGATTCTCATCTGGAGTACGTGCGTGACAAGAACAGTGAAAAGGAAATGTGGTACTCCCTGGCAAGCACGTTCGCGAAGAAGGGTTTTGCAGCGCAAACATACATTCGGAGGTCCGTTAGAGGACCACTTCCGAAAATTTGAAGAGTTAGTCCGCCAGTTGAAGGGAGCTGGTGCTACTGTCACGGAGTTAGATGCCGAAAGTCAACTGTTCGTTTATCTGCCATCGACGTACGATGTTGTCACCACGGCTATGGAGAACCTGGGAGATGATCAGTTGAAGTTGGACACGGTGAAGGTTTGCTGGCCGAAGAGCAGAAACGAATGGGAAGAGGAGACAATTCATGTGCCAATGGTGTCTCGGATGGATCAGGATCAGCATTTGCAGCGAAGTCGGAAAGAAGCAAGGAAAAGTCCAAGTTTCAAGGAAAATGCTTTGTGTGTGGTGAACAAGGGCACAAAAAGGTTGCATATCCAAAGTTCAAAAAGCGGTATGATCGAGCTCAAGTAGCAACTGTTCCCGTAGACAGAGAAGTGGCGTTGATGATTTCCCAGGAAGCGAACTACAAGTCGAAATTAGACATTAAATGGATATTGGACTCGGGAGCAAGTCGTCACATGGCCAATGATGAGCGGTATTTTCACGAGTTCAAAGAGTTCGACAGACCGCTGCACCCAACCGGGGGATGTAAGATTCGCTTACAATTATGTGGGATTCATCATCAGAGGATGTTAGTGGAGACCGCATGAACCGAGGATGCGATATACCTTTACTCCAGCTTCCCACAATCCTCCGAAGTTTGGTGATCTCGGTGGGATAAATTCCCATTCCACTTCTCGACGTAGCAGGAAATTGTTGATTTTGTCCTTTTCGAGCTCATTATTGAATAAGGCACGTAGCTGGCGTAACTCCTTGAATGCACCAACGAAATTTGTTCCGTTGTCTGAGAATATCTTCCGCACTATACCCCGTCGATTCACAACCGGACTAGTGCAGCTAAGAATGCCTCCGATGTTAGGTCTGACACAAGTTCAAGGTGAACCGCCTTCGATACTAAGCACACAAATAAAGCGATGTATGCCTTCACGACCTTTGTCTTACGTTTACCTTCCTTCACGAAGTCGATGCCAGTCAGTTCGAATGGTGCGGCGATGTTCACTTGGGATTCAGAAAGATTCTCGATTAGGGGTTGGATCATCTTTGGCTTCATATGAAAACATCTCACGCAATTATGGATTACCTTGCGGATGATTGAACGGGCGTTGATGAGCCAAAATTTCTGACGAATTGCTGCCAATACTCCGGACTGGCCTTCGTGGAGTCGTTCTTCGTGAATTTTCTTGATAAGCAACTCCGTTACTCGGTGTTTTGGTGGAAGCATCAGTTGATGTTTAGCGTCAAAGGACAACTTCGAATTTTGTAGACGTCCGCCGACTCGTAGGAAACCGTCCTAGTCTATCAATGCAATGCGGCCAGACGGTTGAAGAAAACGGATGATGTAACTTGTCGCTTTACGCATGTCCTGCACGGTCAATCGTCCACAGGAATCTCGCTTATCCTTAGGAGTTCGCACACGGCGAACGAGGCGTGCTATGTGAGCGTAAACACGCTGCAGCTTGTAGAATGAATCAAACCGTTCAAAGCCAGTATCGAGTTTCTTCACGATGACGGGTTTGCGATGACCACAGCTCAGGAATCAGGTCGTCGGGAATCTCTTCTATCGGCTCCATCCTATAGGTGACTTCACGTAGAAAACCTGAACCGTTCCACCACAGCTGAAATTTGCTTAACGGGGTTGGTTTCATTCCTCGGGATACGATGTCCGCTGGGTTTTCATCAGTGTTGACGTAGCTCTAACGGCAGTGTTCGGTCAGTTTGTTGATTTCGGCCACTCGGTTGCGAATGAAGACTTGCAGCCGATCCAAAGGATTCTTCATCCAAGCCAAGGCTATTTGACTATCGGACCATAATCTGATTTCGCGGATCTCCAGTTTTAACGTCGGGATCACCTTATCCACCAGTTTGGCTAGCAGTAGAGCAGCACGCAACTCTAGTCGAGGGATGGTCAACTCACGAAGGGGAGCTACCTTGGATTTGCTGCAAAAGATGAGGCACTGCTGACCCGTCTTTTCGAATGCAGCGAAGGTAAACAAATGCGCCATACGCATATTTAGAGGCATCAGCAAAACCATGAACCTCCATTGTTTCCGTATCAGAAACCACGACGCATCATGGAATTTTGACATTGTTGAGGTGGCTCAATGGTGTCTGGAACTTGAGGTGGCTCAATGGTGTCTTCATTATCCGTTGGTTCAGATGACTTGAAGAACAGGAACAGGTCTTTCTTCGGATCCTACAAAAGTTCCAAAGCCTTGATTACTTCATTTGCGCTGGAGTCCTGGATGGGCACTAGGGTCTCTGAGTTGAAACACCACTTTCGAATTGGAAATCCACCTTTCAGCATCAACTCCTTCAAATCACGACGTAACTTCTTGGTTGACTCTATTGAATCCGAACCAGACAGAATGTCGTCCGTATAGGAATCATTCAGGATAACTTAGGCCGCATCCGGCTAGCTGGATAAGCGATCTCACAGCGAGAAACGATGCCGCTGATGTACCGTAGGTAACGGTCAATAACTCCAAGACCTTCAATGCTTCCGACAGGTGTCCTGGCCAGAAGATTCTCTGGTACCAAATCTGGGAGGGATCGACGAGATTTTGTCGGTACATTTTGGATACATCTACTTAGTTCGAAAAAAGTAGTGTTAATTCTGTTCAGTATGATGCACATAAATGGAGCATCAGATACCATATAAGTTTACATTATATATTATATCAAGTTCTGAGACATTTCATGCAATGTAGCAAATATTGTATATAAAAGCCCATTGTTGTAAACAACATTGTTTACAAGTTGCTCGGTTGCGTGAAATGAAATACAAGTTTACGAGAATGAATGTTTGCATTACTATTAAAATTCAGATTTTTTATCTGTGTACGGTGAACACGTAGGTATGGGTTCGGAAACGTAGTACGATGCTGAACAGGTCACTTTGGCTGCTGGTTCCAGTCATTAGTACGTCATTCTGGGACAGTTCACTCGCTTTGGCTGTTGCGTCAAACACAACACGAAATCTTGTGCTGCTACTGGATGGCTTGAAGACACAGTGATGCGGCAGATAGTACGACTGTAGGCCAGGAGGATCTTCTTCCTCCCTCACTTCACGGCAGTGACCCAACGATTGGTATTCGTCGATGAACTCCGCATACTGAGCCTTCAGGTCAGGATCTCGTGCCAATCTTTTCTCCAACAACAGGAATTGTTTCAACGCCAGGGATCTGGAACTTTTCAACTGGTCCACTGATTCACGGAATTGTAGCCGGACAACGAATTGTCCATCATCATTACGACGATAAGTCCGTTTGAAATGTTCTTCGAAGCGTTCTTCTTCACTCGTCATCATTGCTGGTTCAGCGATTTCCTCTTGGTCGAAAAACCGCTGCAAGCATTCTTCCAATCCATCGGTCACAGCAAGGTTGACACATACTGGAGAATCTTCTTGCGTTTCCTCGTACAAGCCAACCACGACCCATCCGAACTGCGTTTCATACAAGGTAGGCAGGTAGTCGGCAAGTTTGATTTGGCCTTGCTTCAGAATGTTGAAGAAATGTTCGGCACCAATCAGCATTTCCACTTCTCGTGGACGGTTGAATGAAACATCGGTCAACATTACACCGGATGGAATATGCCACAGGATTCTTGCCTTCCTGCGTAGTCAATTGTCCATAAACAATTTTTAAAATAAGTATGGGTCGTGAAAAATTGACAACACCGCCCCCCTCCCTCTCCTAAACTTTCTGCGCAGTTAATAAACAGCCCCCAATTCAGAAATCGTCCGAAAAAAAATCTGATAGGAATTTCAATTGGCTCAGATTTTGACAGTTGATTTGGCGCAAAACATTATCTCCGCTCATTTCTTTATAACACTTTGATATTTTGTCTTTGTTTATCGTCCTCATCGATCTCACTGGTGGGTTCGTACTTTTTGATAGAGAAAGACTGCACTCCTACACACAAGACAGCAAATATGTGCGAAAAATAACTGCAACAGCCAAAGTGATGCATGCAAACATATTCTTCATTATCTGCCGCTGCTGTCTGTTACTTCGTCAGCGACTTTACCCCCCGGAAGGGATAAAAGTTGATCTGCTTCCTTCTGTTCCATGATACTAGCTCAGAAGAAAATATACACACCTTTCCAAATATAATAATAACAAAACCTCTTATTAGCAAACTTTCCGCATCCAGCCATTTCCTTCGTTCACCGTTTGCTGTTTATCTACCGAACGTCGTTTATCCTCCCCGATAGGCTTTCATACGCGTGCACGCCGCCTAACAATCGCACAATGTGCGCCCCGGAATGGAAATCTATTTTCCTGACCTGGTTTATTTTTCCACCAGCTATTTTTCTAACGCCCCCTTCCCTAACCAGATTGGTTTAAAAATGATAATAGACCAATGGAAAGCAAAAGAATAAAAAACCAACGAAACTGTTTGTCTTCACCACGAATTCAAAACAACCAGAAAGATCTCTGGAGACTGCAAGAGAAACACATTCACACAGGCTCACCTTTAAAAAGCACAGCCCAGCAAGGTTGCCAAAAGGAACTCAGGGTTTTAGTTCCAAAAAATCCATTCATCTTATTTTCCCCTACCTGATAGGGGTGTTAGTAAGCGTGTGCGAGCTAGCAGTTACGCCGAATTGACGATCAAATGCATTGTTTACTAAAGCTGATACGTCCCTTTGAAAAAGTTATCGAGATTTGTTTTTGTTCATTCGTGGCTGTATCTTCATGATCGCCTGTGTTGTTGTCAATATAAATATTCGCCTTTATCTTGGTGTGGATGATTTTCAGGATAAATTGCAAAATGATTATTTTCATTTTAAACAAATAAAGCGTTGTAAAATGCGTTGTGCTGGTTTTACACATAGATCGATGCAAAATTATTCTCTCATGTTGCATTGATGATAAATTCAAAGTTTTAGGCTCTGGGGTTAACAAAGTTCAAAATAATAATTTTGCCTAAAATTATTTCGATTATTTTGCTTTTGAGGATCGCTTCTTATTTTGCCACTGTTGGGTTGGATAATCAAGCACTGGTGAATATCAACAAACGAATACGTTATGTATTTTTAACTCATTTGTTCATTTCGCTCGTATACGTGACAGCGAAGATATTCAAAACGAACACCATTCATCTATACTTGGTATAAGCGCTACTCCTTGTTTGTGATGGTAAATGATAAAAACAGGCACTGTTCGCCAGGCTCTAAGACAAGGCTTATTTGTATTCTTCTTAGCATGTTCTTCATTTGCTTCTGCAGTACCTGTTGCACATTCGTGCTTAATCAAAACAATCAGTTTTGGTCTAGGGGCATCTCACTCTAAACTTTAGACCTAATATCTATTAAATATTTTTAAATTCCTCGTAAGTATCGTAAGTATTTTAAAGTATTTTAAACTAAGATTATATTTTCTTAGAAGTAACATTTTTTTTATGACGTGTTGCTAGTGTAGAGGTTTGTTGTTGACTATTTTTTATATCGAATCGTTCGCCGTGTATTTATTCAAATTCATACGAAAACTCACGTTAATGGGTGGATATTTTTATTATGTCTATGAAATAGTATTACTAATTTATATTTTTCAGCCATTCAAAATGTTAAAATGCAAAGGTCAAGATCGACGTAGCTACAAAAAACGATGTTTTGCAATCGTTGGCATGAGATGCACCCGAGTATAAATTATGATGTGTCTAATGATCGAGAGTACACAGATTGTTCATTGGCTCACATAAACCCCTTCGGTGGACAAAGATCCTACTGATGAATATATATTTCCACAAATGGATACTACCCCTACCTTCCTAGCAGCGAATCATCTGAATAAGTAGTTTTTTTGCAGCAGTACAGATGAGGAACTAAAAGTAAGCTCAAGATGCCGAGAAAATCGTGTCACAGAATATTCCTAAGGAAACCAAGATGACCAAGCGAATGGGTACTGGAGGAATGGGTCAGGAGGGTCAAAACGTCTAATCGAAAGCAAAAATAAAGTTTATCAATCTATCGAGTTTCTCAATTAACGAAAATGTTCTATTAAAATTCTAATACCTACCTATTAGAATTTTAATAATTGTATTGCTTGTTTCTATTCTACGTACGAAATCCTAAAAGTTGAATCCAACTATTTTAATCATTCCCATAATGCAACGAGAGAATGGAGATCAAAATCGATATTGGAAATAAACCATATCCTCCTGGAAGGTTAAAAAGAGAGCTGTGCTGAAAACTAAAAATGATCAACATTAGTTTCAAACACGCTCCACATTTGGTTCAAAGAAGATATCTTGCTTCGATGGTATCCAGCTAAACAGCCTTGATGATTTTTAATCTTCTGTAATAAACATGTTCTACATTTATAAGGTGAGAAGCTACGAGATCCGGTTCCGTATCTTATTATGGTGTGACTTCCGATTTTGCTTGGGCTATATACCCGTAGTTATCGTTTTACGGGCAAGAACCTAGCGGATGAACAATAAAAATATATCCCCGATTATAACACAATACTTACATGGAGATAAAGAATACAAATGATATAAATCAAACCGAACGAGTAACAGGTATCTTAGATATCACTAAAAACTTTATTTGTATATGAGGGGAAATACAAAGTTTAGAGTGGGACTAGGAGCATCCCACTCTAAGGTTTGTATTTCCCCCAGTATACAAAAAAAAATTCTCAGTGATACGTAAGATACCTAAAACTACTTACAAATACTTAAGAAATATCTAGCATTCCTTTATTTGTTCGGTTGCTATAAGGATTTCATCTGTTTGTTTACTAATGTCAGGAGAATGTGGAGTTTGGAAAACTTGTTAAGAAATTAACGTTCATTTTATTAACAGCGTGAGCAAAGCAGCTAGGCATATGTCACGGACCGTTTTCGGTGTAATCTGTTCGTCCTATTCCAGAAAAAATTAATTCTGGTCTGATAGATATGAGAAACCTGTCATTTTCATTTCCTATCTCAAGGTGAGTTTTGCTTTATAATAGAGGATGTAATTGTTCTTTTCGTCCGCTAGATTCTTGTCCGAGTGACGATGACTACGTGTTTATAGCCTAATCTAATCAAAATGAAAAGTAAACAAATCTTTAAACTAATTTTTCGTAGCTTTTCGCCTTCTAAATGCAGTACATTTTATTTCAGAAGAGAATAAATAATCAAGGCCGCTTAGCTGAATACGATCGAAGCGAGATGTCCTTTTGATCCAAAAGTGGAACCTCTTTTTAAATTATTTTGAACCGTTTTATGATTTCTTTTAACTTCCGGGAGGATATAGTTTATATCCTTCATCGATTATGAACTCCATGATCTTTTAATCATTTTTTTTAAAACGATTTGGACGTATGATATAATGATTGACTACCCAACAAACAATTTTAGCTGCAGACTAGCTTATACTGGCAAACATTTGCTGTATCAGCCAATTTTCGGCTGTATAATCAAATCTGCAGCTAAAATTGTTAGTTGGGTAATTTGAAATAACGGTAGTGGTATGGTCAAACAATAACATGAAACTATAATGGGAGTGATTCAAATAATCGGATTTAACTATTATGTTTTTCCTACGTATAATCCAAAAAAGCAATACATTTCTTTAAATTATTTATTATAATATTAATGGAACATTTTCGTCAATAGAAACACCCGGAAGATTGTCAAACTTTCTACCTTCTTTCGATCAGACGTTTTCGCACTCCTGCCGATTTAGCAGCGCTTCCTCCACGAAGACTTTGCTTGGTCAGGTTGAATTCCTTCGGATGATTCTGCGACACGTTTTCAATTCCTCACATCTACATTGTGAATCGCTGAAAAATGTAAATAAAGTTATTATATTTCTAGACATAATAAAAATACTTACCCATTTACATGAAATTGCATATGAATTTGAAAAACCAAAATGACGAACGGCTCGATCTAGCATACAACAAGTCAATAAAAAACAACTAAACTAGCAACCCGACATAAATAAAAATAAGTGTTATTACGATGCAAATATAATCTTGGTTTAAAATACTGAAAAATATTTAAGAATATTTACGGGGGATTTAAAAATATTTGATTGATATTAGGTCTAAAGTTTAGAGTGGGATGCCCCTAGGTTTTGGCAGTTATTTTGTCCACATTTAAAGCAGAAAAAAAAAACAATCTGAAAATCAACCAATTTGTGACTGGATCAGAAACTGGATCCAACTCCATACCCCAGTTGTCTCTCCTTAAGGGCCACCCACATTAGATCCGTTTGCGTTGCGTTGACGTAAATTTGACAGTTCGAAAAGAAAAGTCATGTGAAATGCTAACTTCTAGCTCTCCCTCTGAGTATTTCTAGTAGATATAAAAGAAAGCTATGAAAAAATGACAGTGAACTGAAAATATAAGTTGAATTTTTAAAACAACTTAAGTTTTCATTTCGCAAAGTTTGATTAAAATTTTAAAATATGTGTAATCTGATTGAATCCTAAAAATCTGTGATCAGTAAGTATAGATTCTTGGTGAAACATTTGCAAAAGCACAGATTAAGCAGATTAATCGGCAGTTTTGGCAACCCTGCAGCTCTTGTGACATCGTCGTCGTCGTCGTCATCGTCTGCAGTGTTATGGGTTCTGATATCCTACCGTTGTATTCCTCCTCCTTCCGTTTCCTTGCGAAGTCTGTTTATTTAGCCGACCGGAATAACGGTCCGGTTCTCGCAAAGTTTATCCTTCAGTCGTTTTGTCCTGCCTGGCGCGGAGGACACCGGCGAGAGCTCGGGTGCGGTTTATGCGTGCACGTACTTTTCTTTCGTTCCAGCACCGCTTTGAACCGGTGAATCCGGTGAACGGTGACCGCAGTTTGGCAGTTTTTTTTTTGTTTCGCCTGAAAGTAGAATCACAAATGAAAGACATTTAAATGAGGTGCGTGCGGTTTATTTACCGAGGGTGGAAAAGTTCGAAACGGTTTCAGTTATTTGACGTGGTTTTGTGGTACGGTGGGAACAGAAGCATGGTGGTTGTTAGTGTGACATTTTTGGGTGTCCGGAAGCTTAAAAAATCGTGGTTTTTCCATTTTTCTCGTACACCGAGATGTACCGAAAGTCTGTAATGTCACTTGAAAAAATATTTTTGATCCAAAACTCGCACGATCAAATGTCTTATATCAATCAAATTATCCGTCGCAAGTCAAAATTTGTGTTCTTCGCGTTGCTACTCGTCCATATTATACAATCCCCCTCTTGCGCTATGGTTGTGTTCGATACGGTCACCCTCGTGTCCGCTGTCCAGGTCCTAAACGTTGTTTGAATTGTTCCGCTGAACATGAGTTGTCGTAAGGTGCAGAGTGTGTAGCTGCTGCACACTGTATGAACTGTGGTGGACCGCATCGTCCGAACAACCGGCAATGCCCGGTCTATAAGAAAGAGATATATGTAATCCGTATGAAGGTGGATAAGAAATTGTCGTACCCCGAAGCCCGCAAACGTGTCGAAGCAGGATTGGAAAATTACGCCGCAGCCGCCACCCAGAAGACTGCAGACCGTAAGAAACTGGATGAATTGGAGAAGAAGATGCAGGAGAAGGATTCTCAAATCGCTCAACTCCTGGACGCGATGAAGAAGAAATACGAGAAGATTGTAAATATGTTGGTCCACGTTTAGATGATGCAAACCCGACAAGTTCAGCAGTCCCAGCAAGCCAAGTTCAGATTCAACCATCCTCGACTCAAAGGAGCCAGTCTGCCGACCGGAAATCCGGAGACTCTCAGGTAGCCGGAACATCGATGTAGCTTAGAACCAGATCGCCAGTAACGGAATCACGAGCCAACAACAAGAGCAAGAATAAGAAAATACTCACCAGGAGCAACAATACATCGCCCGGATGGCAAAGCCCACTGCTGAAGAAACCCGCCGAAGCAGAAGACACGTCCGATCAGGAAGCCATAGAGATCGATGAAGAGTTCGAGATCGATGAAACGCCCTATAGCCAGCATCACCGATAGAAACGATCCCTCAAAGCAGCCCCCGACCAACAACGCCAACCTGACAAGTGAACCGGACAACGAGAACAATCGACTTGAAGGGAGGGAAAGTGTAGTACCCCCTTCACTCTCACAGGAGAGAGCGCAGCAGGCTGGAGGATCCGTATCTGCCTTCCGTCCCCTATGGCGGTGGTGTCGATATACATCCCTCCGAATTCCCAGCAACAATGCCAAGCCGAACTGAATGACCTTTTCGAGCGACTGCCAGCGCCACTGCTGCTACTTGGCTACTTCAATGCGCACCATATCCCGCCTGGGGATCCACGATGTCAAATGCACTCGGTCGCTACATCGCCGAGAAAACGCTAACTAAGCAGCTGATGATCTTGAACGACGGATCGCACACACGAATGGACCCAGCAACTGGTTCATCTTCAGCTATCGATATCTCGATCTATTCGGAGGTGCTAGCTTCCAGATTTATCTGGCGAACTCTTCCGGGCGCCCACAGCAGCGACCACTTTCCGATCACCGTCTCTTCACCTGAATGCTCACAGGTGACAACGAAGCGGACAAGATGACTCTACGACCAAGCGGATTGGACATCGTTCGAACGGCTGGACTTCCCGCAGCTTGGCGTTGATAGGTTCGTCGATCGGGTATTCTCCTCCCGAAAGTGGCTACGTAGTGTTTATCCTTAATTTAAAAATATGGAAAATAGATTTAAACTCAGCAGTTAGTTTTTGGATCTGGTGGGTCCATGTATCTGGGAAATACAATTCACCGTCACTGAACTCGGGATCTATGTACCGTTTCATCACAGTAACTGAATCATACAACTTTAAACAGAATTCTGTTTCTACAAATAAATAATGGTTTCACAGTTCTGTAGTAGATAAGACGAGACATGACAAAATGAAAATAGAAATCATAGTAGGCTATTGACAAATAATCGGTAATAAAATCAGTCTTGTAAGAGAGTTTGTAGAATACGGAAGTAAATTGAAACTCTACTTTATTCGTTCCCGAAAATCCCCGAAAATCAAACCAATTACGATGGAAGGCAATTAACCCAGTTAATTGTTTCAGCTGTCAAGACGACAACTTATCGAGAGAAGCTGATGTGTGCCATAGTCGAATCGTTTCAATGAATGAATATGTAAATTTACTCGTTCACGTAAATTTGATTGTTTATGAATTGCAAATGCATGCGCATGTTTATTTTTACTGAACTATAGTAAACGCACATGATAATGCGTATTTCAATGGAAATATATGTATTATCAATGCTCAGATTTTGTGCATGACTATCAATTTAAAGTAAAACAAATGTATGCATTGAATAAGCCATTTACTCCAGTTTCTGCATTCATTTATCATCGGACGTCACTGCTGTTGGTTGCGGTGACATCTATCGAAATCTATGCGTAATCTGTTTTCCGTTAGTTTTTCACAGAGGTCAGTGCAGTCAAAAAACCTAAAAATCCCTTACACAGACTACAAAACATAATACCTGGTACTGAAAAACAAGTCTGGAACCTTTATATATGCATTTAAAATAACGTCCGAAATTCCTCCTCTTTTGCATACTCAAAACAAAAAATACTTTCTAAGCCTCGCCCCTAACTGGATTTTAGACCGTTTCATGAATGGGGCGGAGTTAACGGAATATTTTTGTGCCGAGTAAGCATACAATTTGTGAAATATTTTTAGGTAATTTTTTGGGTCACCTTAAGCCACTTTTCAGTCACTTTTTTAAACTATTTGGTCAGTAGAGTCACAGTTCGAAAAAGTAGTGTAAATTTCTGTTCAATATTATGCACATACAGGGGTTGTGAGAAATACAGGGTACTAGCAAAATTTTGTCCAACTTTGGACTGTTATAACTTCGCTGAATATTGTTCGATTTTTAATCTTCAAGAAGCATTCCACTGGACAACTACTAATTTTAGGGTAAGGCAATGGAAGTAAGCATGGTTACTGGATACCGGAGATATTCCGGGTTTCTTGAGGGCATGTCTAAATGGCTAAATTTGTGATGAGTTTTTCTCAGGGTGTCCGTTACCAATCTGTGTTTTTTGTTCATACGCCAAAAAAAAAGAACTTTTTCCAAAGCAAATGACGTACCAAGAGCTAAAATCGGCTCAGAATCAACCAAGATATGGCTATTTCCCTGGAATCGGTCCTGAAGGAGGGTTCTGAGTGCGGTCAGTTCTTTCATTCACTTAAAACATGCCATGTGACACCTCTTTCTTCATGGTTATTTACCAATAGGCTTTTTATAGAATTTTAATGGAGCCATTGACCACATGAAGAAAGAGGTGTCACATGGCATGTTTTGAGTGAATGAAAGAACTGACCGCACTCAGAACCCTCCCTCAGGACCGATTCCAGGTAAATGGCCATATTTTGGTTGATTCTAAGCCAATTTTAGCTCTTGGTGCGTCATTTGCTTTGAAAATGGTTCTTTTTTAGGCGTATGAACAAAAATCACAGATTTGTAATGGACACTCTGAGAAAAACTCATCACAAATTTAGCAATCTAGACATGCCCTCAGGAAACCCAGAATATCTCCGGTATCCGGTAGACATGGTCACTTCCATTGCCTCACCATAAAATTTGATTGGTTTTTCAGTCGAATGCTTCTTGAAGATTAAAAATCGAACAATATTAAACGAAGTTACAACAGTCCAAATTTGGACCACTACATGAAAAGTCTCAATATTGCAGTATTGGTAAGATGACATCAAGGGGTAGGTCACTCAGCACAGTGTGCCAAAAACACAGTAGGGCACACCATGGCTCACTCATTGGCACTGTTTGGCACCCATGGTAAATATTTTTTTGTGATCTCTAAAGTAACTGACATCACTGCATTATTTCTGCGCATGTGCAGTGAGGATGTATCATATTTCATAGTTAACACAAACCAATTTCGGTATCCGCAACAAATAATTTCGTTGGAGCCTCTAACTCGCCCTTACTGCTATGATCCGCACCCGGAAGATGCCGCCATCACGACGACGACCGGTTGGATTTAATATGAATCTTTGAAAGTCAACGCAAGAGTGCGTCAACTGCCACGAAATTGGGAAATTTATGCACTTCTGTATAGACTTCCAGATGTTTCACTGATTTTGAAGCAAGAACATTCACTAACATTGCCTGTTGTAGAGCTCCAGATACGCTATCCGGCACACCAACAGAACACTTATCGGTCGAATCACCAGGAAGCATTTAACGCTCAACCTGGACTAGTTCATGATTGATTAACATAGAATCACTGCTACTCTGCCACTAGACATTTTTACCTCAGTCCCCGAACAAAAATGATTAAAAATGAATCCAAAAATATATTAATTAAATAGCAGTAGGGTTAACTACCCTATTTCCGGCCTATTAAGCACAACCCGCACTGCTGCACTTAGTCTTTCTTAATCAAGTGCAGTTTATCACAAAACGGAATATTATTATTACTGATGGCTTCCAAATTTATTTACCTTTCCGTACGTACCGTAACATTTGATAAAGAGAAACCAATAGTTGAGATATTGTCAAAAGTCTAACACTGATTCTTGACGCCAAACTCGGCCTAACGCGTTGAAACGCCATTGAAACGCCACTGAATTCACTTCGGCCTATCGGATGATGATAAAAATTGATTCGGTCGGAGCGCTTCTTTTGTCTTTGGGAATAATAGGTGAAAACTTTCATACCACGCGTTATCATTGACTTCGTTCCGTAGCTTATTAACTAAAGTATCGTCTTCTTCTTCATCTTCGCATTTCAAGCTTATTGCATATCGCATGTAAGCTGATTGCGTGCTCTCAACTTAGTGTTCTAGATGCACTTTCACAGTTATTAATTGAGAGCTTTCGATGCCTGTACCA